ATACAATGTAAATAAGGAAAAAATATATTCCTAATATGCAGTGATCTTATTCCCTTGATTGTGCCTCTCTATTTTTAGCTATGATATTCTTGACACTCCCCCTCAAGTTAAGTAACGGCATTTCCGATACTTAACTTGTCCAGAACTTCTCTGAAGACTTTTGGGTTGACGGCCTTAGTCAATATGTCAGCCAATTGTTCCTCCGATCGTATGAAGGGAAGTTCAATGATCCCACTATCGAGCTTTTCCTTGATGAAATGTCGATCGACCTCCACGTGTTTGGTCCTGTCATGTTGTACAGGATTTTCAGATATACTAATCGCAGCCTTGTTGTCACAAAAGAGCCGACTTCCCCTTTTTGGAGGAAAGCCAATCTCTGTGAGCAATCTCCGAAGCCACAGGATTTCAGTTATCCCACTTTTCACTCCTCTAAACTCTGCCTCTGCGCTTGATAGGGCCACTACTTTCTGTTTTTTGCTTCTCCATGTGACCAAGTTTCCTCCAACGAAGGTGAAATATCCGGCAGTAGATTTCCTATCATTTGGGTTACTGGCCCAATCTGCATCTGTATACCCGTCAACTTCCAAATCTTCCCTTTTTTTAAGCAAAATCCCATAATGAGTGGTTCCTTTCAGGTATCGGACAATTCTTAAAGCTGCCTCCATATGCTCATTCTGGGGTTTGTGCATAAACTGACTTACTATTCCAACTGCATACGCGATGTCAGGCCGTGTATGAGAGAGATAGATGAGTTTCCCAACAAGGCGCTGGTATTTTCCTTGATCTGTCAAGTCAGCTCCTTCAACAATTGTTAACCCATGATTTATCACAACCGGTGTTTCTGCAGGCTTACACTCGAGTAGCCCAGTTTTTGCAAGTAAGTCAAGGACATACTTTCTTTGTCTCAGGAAGATCCCCTTTTTGGACCTTAAAATCTCAATTCCAAGGAAGTATTTCAGAGATCCAAGGTCTTTCATTTCGAACTCCAGGAACAAGTTTTTCTTCAAGCTTTCTATCTCTTCAACATCATCTCCTGTGATAATCATGTCATCAACATAAATGATTAAACATGTTACCTTTCCTTCTCTCCTTTTCACAAATAACGTATGGTCAGAGTTACTCTGTTTATATCCATTTTTCACCATAGCTCGACAAAATCTCCCGAACCATACTCTGGGCGATTGCTTCAATCCATAGAGTGTCTTCTTTAGCCTGCACACTTGCTCTGCCTCGAACTCTTCGGAGTAACCTGGGGGGACTTCCATATATATCTCTGCATTTCCCTTCAATTCTCCATGTAGGAAGGCATTAGTTACATCCAACTGATGCAGAGGCCAATCCTTGCATGCTGCTACTGACAGAAGTGTTCTTACTGTGCTCATCTTGGCTACTGGTGAGAATGTTTCTTCATAATCTATCCCGTAGGTCTGAGTGTATCCTTTTGCAACCAACCTAGCTTTGTACCTTTCGATTGAACCATCTGCTCGCCTTTTGATTGTGAAAACCCATCTGCATCCCACTGGCCTCTTTCCTTCTGGCAGCACACATTTTTCCCATGTCCCATTCTTAATTAGGGCATCCATTTCCTTCTTCATGGCCTCTCTCCAATGTTTATGTCTCTTTGCCTCTTCTACTGTCCGGGGTACATCTTCCTCTTCATACAGGGCTGCTTCAAAGGCTCGTGCCATCTCTGTGAGTTGCCCTTGGGCAAGGTTGGCAATCGAGTACCTAGTCTTCCGTCCCTGCCAGTCGGGAGAGTATCGTTTTGGTGGTTTCCCCCGTGTACTTCGGGGAGGCAATGTGTACTGTTCTGTGGCACCTGCTAACTCAGTACGTTCATCATCTTCATTCGTATCCCCTCCAGTTTCTGTGTCAGTGTCTCCATCCCTCTGTTCCTCAATGTTAGTATTAACTTGAGAACTATTGAGATTACTTACCTCAGGATTCGAAGATGGGGTTGACAGTGGGCTCAAATCACTTGACATCTTGAACTGAACCTGTGTTGTAGATGTCTCGGAGGGTGCGCTAACCTTCTCTGTTGGACCAACGTCTGGCACAGAACCTGGCAATGACATTGAGCTAGTTTCTGACAGATAAGAAGGTAGAGAAGGTAGGATTGTTTGGACAGTGGATGGCGTATGGAGCCAATTTAGGGAGTCGACAATCTCCTTTTTCTCACCCTGACTCCCTTGTTGGCGGAAAAAATATTCTGTTTCAACGAAGTCACAGCTTAAGGTGGTGTGTAGGTGATTAGCTACAGGGTCATAACATCTATACCCCTTCTGATTTTTGCCATACCCCAGGAAAACACACTTTACAGCATTTGGTGTGAATTTTGTACGATTTTGTTTAGGGATATGAACATAAACGGTGCATCCAAAAACTCTGGGTTCAAGAGTGAGGGATGAGGGTATTTCAGAGTGGGTAGCTAGGAACTTAAGGGGTGGTTTAAAGTTTAGGATATGAGTTGGCAATCGATTTAGGAGGTAAACAGAGGTAGCAACAGCTTCGGGCCAGTAAGATGTCGGGACTTGGGAATCGATGATAAGGGCTCGAGTCATCTCTAAAATGATCCTATTCTTTCGTTCAACTACCCCATTTTGTTCAGGTGTGTAAGGGCAGGTTGTTTGGTGGACAAGGCCTTTTTCTGTGAAGAAGTGTTGCATCTTGGAATTTACATACTCCCCCCCATTATCAGATCTAAGGATTTGAATAGATTGGTTGTATTGTGTTTGTACTAGATTATAGAAGTGGGTGAATTTCTCAAAAACTTCGCTTTTAGATTTTAAGAAATATACCCACGTCATTCTAGAACAGTCATCAACAAATAGCAGAAAATATCTAAACCCATTATCACTAGTAACCGGAGCTGGACCCCAAATATCAGAGTGAAGTAAAGAGAGAACTGACTTCACACGAGTAGATTTAAGTTTAAAAGAGTGACGATGGCTCTTAGCCAGAAAACATGTTTCACAGTTCAAAGGGTGTGAAGTAACAAGGTTTGGATAAATTAATCGTAGATATCCTATGGATGGGTGTCCTAACCGCCGATGCCAAAGCCAAGTCTGTTCCTCTGTCAGTCCTTGAGTCAGCATCGCAGCACCCTGTTGAGCCATCCCATCCACATAGTAGAGTCCTCGGTGTTCAGTGCCACGCCCAACTATCTTCCCCGTCCTCGTATCCTGTAAAATGCATAAGCGAGACTGCATTAGTAAGTTACAATGTAATTCTCTCGTAACTTGGCTGACAGACACTAATTTGTGAGATAAAGACGGGATATATAAGCAGTTTGGGAGACATAATTCAGGGGACAATTTAATAGTTCCAGCTCCTTCCACAGATGCTAAATTTCCACTAGCAGTTTTGATATATCTTTTCTGAGCAGGAAAAATCTTCATAAAATCAGAGGCATCAAAGGACATAGTATCTGTAGCTCCACAATCAAAAATCCAATGGTAGTCTTTATCAGGTGTTTCAGAATTAATGGAGGATAATGCTAAGGCCTGAAAAGAATTCCTACATGATATATTGGGCTCAAAAAAAGGTTTTTCATTTTCTGTGTGTTTAATATGCAATTTTTGGGTGTGCTGTGATGCGGGGATAAAATGGGGTGAATGATTAGAGTCATGAATGAGTGAGGGGTTGAAAAAATATAACCCCTCATTACCTCCCCCTTCGTGCACCCTAGCTGCCAGGGCACCTCCCCTCTCCTCGTCCATGCGCGTTTGTGGCGGTGGTGGTCCGACGTTGCCTGCCGGGGATCCGGCGCTGGCAGCTCGTGTCTCACCGCCTGACCACGCCCCTCCAGTCGTCGCTCCGGCAGCCACAGTTGACGTCTGCCTTGTGCCACTAACCGCCACCGTCGCTTGTCCATTCTGGTTCCATGGTTGATTCCGATTTCTGGACGCGGTTCTTGATTTCTTCATTTCGTCCCACCATTCGGGAAATCCGATGAGTAAGAAACATCCCTCTTTGGTATGCTTTTTACCCCCACAGTGTGTGCATACGAGTTTGCTCTTATCGATTTCCCCTTTCCTGTTGTTCCAGGTTTGATTTCCTTGTTGTGGCCGATTGGAAGGTGGCGGTGGTCGGCTGTGGTTGACCGCGGCGAGTCCGGACCCGATTCCTTCGGTTGGTGATTCGGAGGGTTTGAGGATACCCTCGTTTTTGGCCTGCCTTCGCACCAGTCCGTAGGCTCTTCGAACAGTTGGTAACGGATCCTTGTCCATAATCTCCCTCTTGATATTTGCATATTTATCATCCAATGCACTCAGAAATTGATAGAGGCGATGGCGCTCCTCCCTTTTCTGGTATCCCTCTATGTCTGTCGGACTCGGATCTCGGGTATCAATCGAGATCCATAAGTCTTGCATTTTGGTCCACAACCCTTCTAGTGTCATAGACTCTTGTTTGATCGTCATGGCTTGTCTGTGCAGATCATAGATTTGGAATGGATCAGATCCACTTCCATAAGTAATCGTCAATCCTTCCCATAGATCAGCGGCAGTTGCGTACTGTGATACCTCGTTCACAAGTCCGGTTTCGATATTGTTGATCACCCAATTGAAAACGCAGTTATCCCGTTGCTCCCACCTTGTGTAGCCGGGATCGGCAATTACGGGAGGTTTTGAAACTCCATTAATGTGAGATGTCAAACCTTTTCCCGCAATTGCCCGTTTCATGAGGTTAACCCATAAGGGGTAATTCTCCCCATTGAGTTTCGCCTTGATGGAAATCTCTCCAAAGGATTCAGGTTGGTCGTGGTTTGGTGGTTTATGGGCCGATGATGAATTTGGAATTCTGAGGCTTTGTTTGAGGAATTCTGCAAATTGTGCAGCAAATTCCATCGGAAAATTTGTTGGGGTGTGGCTAGCGTTTTCTGTGTTTGAAGTTTCTGAATCTGACATGGTTGGGCAGATTTGTAGGGTTTTAGGGAATGGTTTTACAGGTTTTAGTGGAAGGAATTACGAGGAACTCAAATCTGAGTCCTCCTTTTGGTGGTTTGCCTGCTCTGATACCATCTTGAGAAAGAACGACATGATGGAGAATATAGGAGGAATTGATATTCTTCTTATTTCTATATATCTTTCATATACATTACATCCCAATATATAGCATAAGAATACAATGTAAATAAGGAAAAAATATATTCCTAATATGCAGTGATCTTATTCCCTTGATTGTGCCTCTCTATTTTTAGCTATGATATTCTTGACATTTGGAAGCCGGGCAGCCAGCCCCCAAGGTGTCCGAGCTGCCCATGGGGCGGACGGCGTTTGATAGGCCGGGCGGCCATCCCGCAGGTCCAAGGCCGAGCATGGAAGAGCGAACGAGCGGCCAGCTAGTCTTCAAGGGGTCCTAAGTTAACCAGGGCTGAGAAGTGAGAACTCCGAAAGGCTGAGCGGTGAAGGTCTGGCCAAACCGTGGAGGCTCGAGCAGAGCCTTCTGGCCGAGGCAAGGTCTTCTCCAAAATGGGTCTGATCCTGATATTGTGCAGCGTCGCAGCAGAGCCCTGAGCGTCCGGCCTGATCTATATTCCCATCACGTACATCCTCGATGGGGAAAGGGCGGTTCTATTTGCCGAGCGTCTTATGTGTCGGGCGGCGGGACGTCAGCGCTGGTCTAAGTGTTCAAGAGACCAGAATTCAGAGACGGCCGCTTCAAACCGGGTTGCTACTTCACCGGACGGCGTTAAAACATTGAGCAGGGTCATTGAAGTTAGGCGGCCAGCTTACAAGTTCCTTGCTGTTCCCCGGTGCGTTGAGAACCAAGCGGTGTACCGCCGGTTAGTGAGCTGATCTGGTCAGCCAGAGTGGCATTGTGCTTGCCGAGCGGCGTTGACCAATGGGCAGCGCTTCGGACGTCGGGCATCGCGCATACATGATGCCCGAGCTGGCCCCTGATGCATTGAGAGCCATCATCACATTTGAAAACTCGTGCGGCCAGCCTAGCACTACTTGCTTCTATCCAGACGGAGTGGTGTGCTCGGAGGAGACATCCTTCGGTCAAGAGTACCATCTGAGTGATCTGCTCGGCGCATGGTCCTCTTTTAGCCCTAAGGTGGGCCTGGGACGCTCGGCCTCACTTAACGTGAGCTTTTCTTCCCTTACTGAGAAGACCTTGTTGGTTAAGCCAACATCTTTTCCTACGGATTGTGAGATGCTGAGGGGCCAGCTAGCCTTTGCAGGTATCCAACTGAGGCTACCCCTGGCAGGCAAGCAGAGTGGAAGAGCCGGACGGCTAGCTCTCATCAGCTTTCTAAGCTGGTCCAGTGACTGCGCGGCATCGAGGATCGGGTGTGCCTGTGCGCTGGGTATTCCGGTGAAAGCAACCACCCTGCAGTGCAGGGCGGCAAGGATATGCATGAGCTGAGTTTGGAGACGTGCGGACTGCTCCAGGTGCCCCTCTGATTCTGCACCTGCCGTTCTATGGAATGATTTTGTTTTCATGAATATTGAAAACGTCAACTGATACCCCCCGCTCGGGCCTGCCATCCTCTCTCGCTCGTCACCATGCTCGGCTTAGTTGAGCAAACGATCGTTGGGGTGCAGGATCGAGGCAGCTGATTAGCCAACTATGGCCCCACAGGTCATTTCACCAATCCCTCTCTATTCTTGTCAGGTTGCAGCTGTCGTGGAAGGACAGCAACCACAGCCTCCAACTGCCTCTCATCCTCTGCAAATTCATCTTGCAGGAGCTGCTTCTTCTTCTTGCAAATTTCCCGGTGACCACCCAGATGGCCATTGCAGGAGCTGCTTCTTCTTGCAAATTTCCCAGTGACCACCCAGATGGCCAGAGGTGGGGGAACTAACTGGCCAGGTCCTCAGGGCCGGCTTATGGCGTATGGTTTTCACCGGAAAGGGGATATTTCCCCTCATCCCTTCTACTGTAATCCTAGAAAATTCCCCAGGCCATTTTCCCTTCGTATGAATCCTTTTGTAAAAAACCAAAAACAGTTCCCTTTGTGTGCATCTTCTGTAGAAAATAAAGAACATATGAATCTTTTTGAACAAGATTCCCACAGACGGCGCTAGTGTTGAGGTTAATTCGCCGCAATCCGGAAGTACAACACCCCTTCCGGGAGGATTTCATGGCTATGTGGTGATAATAAAATATAAACAATAATTTTTACGTGGAAATCCGGAAAGGGAGAAAACCACGGGACTGTTTAGGCTAATGTCCAAGCCCTCTCATTCTTATTAATCCCTCCTCACCATTACAATGTACAAGCTTGAGCCTTGGTAGCCATTAATGGAGCTCCAAGCCCTAGAGAGAAGTGGGGTGTGGGGAAGAAGAGAAAAAAGTCCCTAAACATTGTGGGAAAGCCTCTATTTATAGGGGAAAGGGGGGAGGGTTCATTTCTACCCTAATGGGCCAAAGTGGACCAAAACGGGCCAAAAGGCCAAAATAAGCCTGAAAAGCTGAAAACGGCCCTCGTCGATTAGGCTCTGACCTGAGGTAATGGGTTGGACTTCTGAAAAGTAATAGGCCGGGATGATATATCCCAACAGTATGTATGTATGTATATGTATATATATGTATATGTATATATAGGGAAGAGTTCAAATGAAAAGTGGTCTTCCCGTGCAAAGTGCAAAGTTTTCACTTTTTCATGTTTCGCTTGCACTTTTTCTTGTTTGCGTTGCACTTTTTGGCCATTTTGGCCAAATTCGTCCAAAATGACGGTGGCAGTTTTGTAAATAAACCAATTTTTTTGACCTACCGCGAAAAAGTGCAACAAAAGCAAGAACAAGTGCAAGCGAAACATGAAAAATTGCAAACTGGTTATTTGAACCATCCCCCATATATATATATATATATATATAGGGAGCGGTTCCGGTAAGAACGGACTCCCAGGAGAGAAATGAGAATGAATCTGACCGTTGGATTGTATTATGTGAAATTGAATTGTGCATTTGGTGAAACTGAAATGTGCATTAGATCATCTTGAAATGTGCAGAATAAAAATGTAAACTCAAGTGTGCATTAAACAAAACTGAAATGTGCGAAATAAAAGGTGAAAAAATAACATCACATTGTACCTTTTATTATGCACATTTCAGTTTCACATAGTGCACATTTCAATTTCACCTAATGCACAATTCAGCTTTACATAATGCCACTGTATCGTACCCTTTATGTTGCACATTTCAACTTCACCTAATGCACATTACAGTTTCACCTAATGCACATTGAATTTCACTTAAAACAAATCTAACAGTCCAGATTCATTTTCATTTCTCTCCTAAGATCGTGTTCTTATTTGAACCAAATTCTATATATATATATATACACACATATATATACTAGTTGGGCCCCACACGGTGCGCGGGAATCGTGCCCAATGGTAGCAGCAAAGACGAAAAATTATGGGGAACAATATTTTAAAACATAGAGTGTAAGCAGTAAGGTAATCACTTAGATAAATTCTAGCATTGTTCAAAAGGCTTTGAATGAAAGAGAGATGTTGGATGATTGCAATGTTAGCAGTGACAGAAATAACGGGGCAGTCAAAATAAACAAGCATACATCGTAAAAGTGTTGTAACATTTCAGGGAATCAAGAAGGACCGGCATGGTTGATGCAGCAAGCGATGCAGATGTCGTATTTGTGATTGTGGGTGGGTGGGTCTTCTACGCCACACTGCGCCATGGTAATGAGTCTAATTCTACCTCTGCCATACTTGAAGAATGTGATGATAGTTTGTTTTTTGAGCTCAAAACTCATTTGGAGTTAGCAAAGTATTGGCTCTTCTCCTGTTACCAGATATGCGTCCTCTGTCCCAAGGAAGGCTTGGAGGCGGCCTCGTTTGTCACTGGATTGGCGCAAGAAAGCTTCACAAGTTTGCTGTATCAAAAAGACAAATGTATGACAGTGTGAAGTATTAAATATACACGATAAGGGGGGTAATTTGGAACAGGTGGACAAAGAATACCTTTGCAGTCTGGTTAGGAATATATAAAAATGAGGGCGGTACATTTGGCGGTACGAGCAGTTGGGTAAACAAGATTCAACGTACATATAGAATGGGTCTGCAATACACAAGAATACACATTAGGCGGTGAATAATGTAATGGACAAAAATATACTGTGGTACTTAAAATTGCAGATTGCAGGAACACAGTGAATAGGGAAATACACTGAAAACATATGTAAGTGAATCTGCATCTAATTGAAGATGTATTGGAGAAGTTGGAGAAACTAATAAATGGGGTTTGATGGGTTAGTAAAATGGTTCAATGCACAGGAAAACATACCTGGGGGTGTAATCAATGATAGAACCTGAAGGTGTTCCGGCCAAGTTCAAAGAGAAGCCGTCTTTGTCAAATGTTAGGACCTGGAAGGTGAAATCACCAATGTGCCTTAACATGACATGGCTGCCAAATGGAATGTTGTTCTCTATGAAGAAGTCTGCAAAGCCGCCAGTGAAGCTAAAGTCGTCAACCTTTACTGTCCAGGTGTTGGGTCCATAAAGAAGTCTAGCATGGGCTCTGGTGTGTTCAAGCAAATGCCTTTGCATACATGGAGGAATTTTCTGAACAATAAATGAGACAAAGTAAGTATATTAAAATGTTGGAACTTAATAACACTCATACAATGCAAACGAGGTAATTCAATGCGGGTACTGTACAGCAAGTCCAATGTCAGGTACAGTAAGCAGAAACCAGACGAGTGCAAATTGTAGCACGTCTGGGAAATGAATAGCGCCAGTTTGAGGGCAAACTGTGGAAAAGCAAAATAAGGAATAGATGAAAATTAGAAAAGTTGTAAAAGGAATTGATCATCAATGGGGGGTTTTGGAGGATAGAAGACCTGCAAGCTGAGGCAATGAAGAACCTCACTGCACAAAGTGCATGAGTTTGTGCTCAAGCTTTGTTTTGTTTCTGAACGACGTGGGCAGCAATCGAAAGTAACCAGTGGCGCGCAAAAAGTGTCTCCAATCGGGATGTGTTGTGCAGTCAGCTTGAGGCGATGCAGTAGGGTCGATTGTAGCAACAACAATGCGTCTGCCATGGACGGTGTGAACATAGTATGTGAGCGTAGCATTGCCGCTACTATCAGTTATTTTATCAACAGTACACGTGGACAACAAATCCATGAGAACTGTGAACACAAAACAAAAGACATAATCAAAGTTTGGGATACACAAACATTCAATACAAATGGAAGGCAATGTAAATGAAGCAACCATACAAACATTACAAGGTTGAGATGAAATTAGCCAAGGAAAAGGTAGTGTACTTACGTGATGGACAAAGGAAGACGCTGGAAGTGCAAAACCGCTGTTTGAATACCTGCATAGAAAAACCACAAAGTCCCACCTCAGTTTGAATTCAGCAAGTCATGTCTGACAATACTCCAGTAAAGGGAAAAAATTGTAAAACCAAGCAAGACTGTCTTTAAAAACATTTCGTAAAAAAAATCCAAATGTGTTTAACGCCTGCTTAAAACATACTGTAAAATCAATGGTATAAATAGAAACCAATGAAATCAATACGGTTTGTATTTTCTTTAAACGTTACTAATTTGGTTTGTTTGGATTAGGATGGTATTTAGGTTTCAAGTGTGTATGCTTTTAAACAATGAAGTTGGCTGGAATGATATTAAAAATATAGTTTATAGAAGCAGGTTGTTAATTAAAATTAGGTAGAAGTATTCATTCATGAAAACAAATTGTTGGATGGTTTAGGTCAAAAAGTTGTATAGAATTTTTTGGTTGCTATTTTCACCCAAATTCAAAAACACAAATTTAAAAGGGAAAACCCAGATTCATGATGAATTCATGATGCTGATATCAAGGGAAGTAATAACTACAAGAACAGGAAAAGGTAGCATATGTTTTGGAAGCTCCAGCCAGTGTTGCAGATGCTAATATAAGAACCAAAATTGTTTAAAATGTTCACACGAGCATACGGGTAAAAATGAGTGTTTTAGTGTTTCAACAACGGCAGTGGACATTGTTGAAATTTTGAGTTCAATATTTGAAGTGAGCTTTTGTACTCTGAAGCCAAGATTAAGTTTTTACAGTTATTACTAAATTTTGATGTGCTCAAATGGTTAAAAGCTTTAAGTCTAAGACTGAGTTTTAAAGATCAATTTTTTTCAAAAGTTAAACTTATGGATATATAACTTTAACTCAATAATAGCAATAATAATAGTTAATATCTTTTGCTTCTAACCATAATATATGCTGCATGTTTAAGCATATAAGATTTAGCTTATCAGTAAAAGTTTAAACCATTTAGATCACTCTGGAAGGCTGCACAACACAAACGTCTCTGTTCTGTACAGAGAGTTTCCTTCATCAGGAATGCAGAAGAGATGGGAGAAGTGTTATATGTTTATGAGCAATTACTTAGTGTATTAAGGAAGTGACGGGTGGTTGGTTTGTTATTTTACAAAACAGTAATGAAGTGGGAAGGAATATATCATGAAAACAAACAAAGAACATAGAAGATGGGTGACTCTGTTTAGGATTGGTAAAGAGAGAAAGGATGGAAGAGTGGTTTGTATTTATGCCATTCTATTCAACGCGCATCGCGCGCCACTCTTAAAACCATTTCATCATAAAAGTTTCAAATAAACATACCATTTTTATGCTTATGTTCAAAAAATAGCATGCTCAAAAATATTTCATCAAAAAAATGTTCCAAATGTATGTTCTACACATTTGGTATGCTTATAAACCCTAGTTTATATATATATATATATGTAATAACAGGAAAAATGGCATTGAAGAACATTCCATATTCAGCACGGGAGTTTGCACTTAATAAATAGAAACCAAGTTAGGGAAATTTCAGAAAATGCAAACTGTTTTGAGACCATAAATAACACAACATTGCCGAAGCAAAGAAAGAACAAAAGGCAAAACGAAATGGTGTGAGAATTAACCATGATGGACTACAGTTGGTGGAAAAAACGCACAGATAAAATAAAAAATTAACTAAATTAAAGAGAAGACGACTCATAAGAAAAAGAATAAGTCAACAAATAAGGATTGCAGCGTGGATTAAGAAATACGGCCTGAATAGCAAGAAATATGAATCGCAAGTCCTAACGTTTGATAATTTAAAGAGAGAACGCGTAAGAATAGCAGGAACGCGTAAGTGACAAGTGGAACGAGAATGGAGGAAAATAAAAGACAAAGGGGAGAACATACCTGTGAACACAAACGCTCGGTACGTAGGGCAGAGCCGATGGTGATGGTGAGTGGCGACTGCGGTGAATGAGCATAAGAATGAACGAACCTTGGGAGTGTTTTGTGGAAAGCAGTTGGTCGATGAAAAGGCGCAAAGGCCATTGGGGGAGTTGGGCGGTTAAGTTGTACGGATTGGCTGAAAGAAGAGGCAAAAAAGTAAAAAGTGGAAAAGTTTACAAATTTGTTGAGAAAAGAATCA